TTCCTTTTTGTTGCTTTAATAAAAGTAAATCCATGACCCCGTATTGGACAAAGAGGGATAAAAACAAGGGCATAACAAACCTTAAAGTTATCAAGACATACTGTATAAATTGCATTTACCCAAAAGGCAAAATGTGAATATCAATCAAAATACCAATGTCCATACCGTTTTTATTTCATACGTGTTCTAAACAGGAATTGTTTCCTCCTGTCACATTGAGCACAGTTTCTGTCAGGCTGTTTAGAATGAAGTCAATGTCCAGATTAAAGGTCTCCAAGCAGTGTGTGATTTGAGGAATCACAGGCTACAATGTGAAGCTTGAACGAGTGAAGCTTGGCTCTGATAAAGGACTTGCCTGCTTCTCTGTGAGGATGACACGTCCCAGCAGCTGGTCCTCAAGCCCCTTCATTGTAACAGTGAAATCGATCACAGCTGTCTTGGCACTGATCTCAGGGGTGTAGGCTGGGTTGGCTAGTTTGGTGGTTATGTAAAGAGTAAAACCTTTCATGACGTCAACCTCTTTGTCACCCACTTTAACCTGGGAATGGCAGCAAAAAACAGGAATAGTGGTCAGGAAAAGGTTTGTGTCCACAGAGAATTCCCCCTCCAATAATAGATCAGTTGTGAACCTCCTACTTTAATAATAATAATAATAATAATAATAATAATAATAACTGTTCTTTTTATTTTTTGTGGAGCAAAACCACAACATTGTAAAAAGTGTTTAATCCTAATAATTACACAACATTAGTAGTTAGCTGGGATATAGGTGTTCCTCAGTAACTGCTCCACTCTATTGTTAAGTTACAAATGTAGGCCTACTTACCACAATATCTTATGTGAATTTATTCTGTTTATTCTGTTGCTTTAAAACCCCCAAGTAACACTTGCTAATATCATGTTAATCTAAACCTCATTCTCTCAGCAAGAGAGCTTAAGAAAACATTAAAAGTCTTGACACTTGAAAGGGCTGCATGGAAATGCTTTAGATATATGTTGTTATTCAATGTTTCCCTTTGGAAATGAATTAAATTAGTTCTGGTTTGCATGTATAGTCTTATTTTCTTTTGTTGGGTTGTCTGCACTTTATGACAGTCTATTGTCTTTGATCACCTGTTTTCTAGAACCAAGAGTAACTTTCTACAATTCAGGAAGTAGAGAAAATACTCTACAACAAATAGTTCATTGATAAAAGATTACATATGGTGACAAATATTTCAATGTTTACTTATTTAAGATTGTGACACATAACTGTCTAATGCCAAAATACTGAAACAAGCTGATTGCTGTCTGAGCTCTCCCAGTACAGCATATTTACTTAATTTACTTTACAATGTTCTTATTTAGTATCTTGCTGCCATTATTCACCTAGTTACACAGTAAACCTCTTAAGGTTGGAACAAAGAAAACCAAGCATATGACTCTTTGTTTTACATCGTGGCACGTTAATTATTTTGAAGCAGGGAGTCTTTTACTAATACTCATTAAATAACAGGCTACATGTGAAACCATACTGTATGCTTTGAGTAAAGATCTAATGACCAAGAACACATTAATTTTAGATGTATAATTTTCACTAATTAACAGCACTGAATCCTAAATGACGGAGGCACAGTGGTGCAGTGATTAGCACTGCTGCCTCAAAGCACTGGGGCCCTGGGTTTAATTCAGGACCTGCGGTGCTGTCAGCGTGTAGTTTGTCTGTTCTCCACACTTTCCACCATGTTTTCTTTGGGTGATCTGGTTTCCTCCTAAAGTCCAAACATACTGGTGGGTTAATTGGCTTTCTGGGCAAACTGGTACTTGTGTGAGTCTGTTTGTGTCTGTGTGGCTGTCCTGTAATGAAGTGGTGTCCCGTCCAGTCTATACCCTGCCTTGTGCCCCTTGCTCGCCAGCATGGGCTTCTCCCACGACTCTAAATTGGAAGAAGCAGTTAGAAAATGAACAGAGGGATGGAATCCTAAATGACAAGTGAAAACAAAAATTCAAGAAGTTTTCAAATGGGACTTCCAACTGGAAAATAATAGATTATACTTGTTTGATCATACTGTATGTAATATGATAAGCATTGCATAATGAGCCCACAGAATAGTGATTCCTGTCTGTCCATCCATTGTCTATCTGGCCAGGAAAGGTTCGGTAGAGGGAAAATTTGGTTAAAGCAGTGGTGGCCCCTAGTGGAAGCTTCTAAGAGTATTTACAGTACTGCAAGTAAGTCATTTAGGCCACTGACTTTCTTCTTTTCCTTTGTAATTCATTTTTCATGCAACCACAAGGCTACAAGAGACTGATAATGGTATAGTTTTAGTTCATTTAAAGTTTAGTGAAAAAATGGATTAAATATATGAGCTTGCAAAAGAGACTGATACGCTTTCATGCCTATTTACTAAGACTAATAAAAAGGGGTATGACATTTTGTGGGTACCCATATGAAAAGTATCTATTTTCATATCCTTTGTCACTTCTGAAAACAATAGTACATTTTTTTTGATAATTTAGTGCAAATGCTTCTACTGTGAGAAGTACATTTATCAATGTCACATTTGAGAAATTATAGTAAAACACACAGGGCAGAGCTTCTGAGTCCTGCTCCTTGTTATTCCTGAGCTCCTGAATTACTTAATGGAGCCCCTAATAGCACTGATCATTATCCTAATTAAACCTTTGAAATAGTTCCTTATTGTACTCCTAATAAATTGCCAACCTAACATTATTTATAAAATCTCAAAATCTAACTCTGTGTGATGAAAACAATACAAAAAAGGTTTAATTAAGCAATTGATTTGTTCAGTTAGGAGTTCGCTTCATTAAGTGCGAAGTTAGGTTGAATAACAACCAGAAATCATTGACTTCTTGAAAGACTAAGAAGAGTTACTTCTATGTCTAGTAGAGTGAAAGGATATTCTGGAAGGTTTGACTGTGGCATGCACTCAAGTAAGGCAAACCAAGAGCTGATGTAATGCCATGCATTTCGCTAGTGTCTTGCAAATGTGACATTGATATATTTAAAACAGATTTAAATATCTACAAATTATCTAAGGTTTTACCCTCAAGCCTATAGTATGTACTGTAGTTTGCACATGGGAGTTGACACACAAGAGGAAACTGACACATAAGTAAAACATTTTTTTAGGGGTGCATATACATAGAAATATTCTAGTTTAAAAGATTTATCTTACTTGAGTGTTACTAAAAGGAACTGTACAGTATGTTGTAGCCAATAAATGACATTGCAAAGACCAGTTTGCACAGAAAAGCTTTTGCTAACAGTAGTATCTCCTCCACCAAATTATATAGTTTATTTCTGTTTCATTTGTTCATTCATAAGACATAAAACAAACCTGCATGCTTTCAGTTAAGTACTTAATTATCCAGTTTTGTTAAATAGGCAACTGCTAATTACAACATACATGTAATAGACTAACAGAGTAAAGACTAAAACCTGGCAATTTTATTTTTGTTGTGGGATGTTTCCACAATTAATACTGTACCAATTTTTGCTAAAGAAAGAGAAAACTGAATCTTCACACGATTTTAACTATTACAAAATATCACTCCTTCCCAGTCTGCTGTGCAGCATACAGATTCAGCTGTTATGGATGCTTTAAGTTAATTTATTAGAAGCATGTTTAAAAGATGTTTTAATAGTGAGGTGTTTGAGCAACCAGACCTCTTTGGAAATGCTATCTATAGATTAGGTTCTTACTTTGTATGTAGACCCAGATTTGATGAAGTTCTTTTCTAGTATGTTGTCCAGTGCAGGATCCAGCTCTTCTCCAACATCTTCAATCAACAAAGGTCTTCCAAGGGACAGGCAGTCCTCCAAATGTGTTCGGAAGTATTTGTGGTTTAAAGATGTCACCTGAAGTTCATAAACAATAGTGGAATTAGGTCTTTACAAAGAAAAGGGGGATGCATTATACTGTACATATTTACTAAAGAAAAGGTCAAATGAAACCTATCACTTACTGTACATTTGCAACAAACTCACAAAAATATTAGAAGAAAAAATGACTAACATTTTATTTAACAGACAATGCCTGGGTTTGTTGGCCTCTCAAAATATTTAATCTATATCAAAACAAGTATACTTTCTCCCTAAAAACATAAAATGCCTCAATACTTTTAATATTAACTCAACAATTAAAATTTCAGATGACACAACATTGCATATTATTGCATTTTGGCCAATAATATCCTTGCATTATGCTATCAAAGAATGGCTGCATCTGTGTCAGGTATGTGGGAGTGTCAGAACTTCTAAAATCTTGATCTCTGATCCTGCAAAACAGTCTGGTATTGGATATTTCATAGTGCAGAAACAGCCTTTTGAAGGTTAGAGCCTCTAAGTTTAAGCCTCTTTAAGGCTTAAAGGATTTTGTCATTTTATACTGTTAGCGCAGGTCATTCCTTTGAGCCAGGGAATGTACTTGGCTGCTCTTCTCTGGACAAATTCCGTACCAGCAATATCTTATATAATAAAATATATATTTCTATAATGTCATGGATAGCAATATCAACATTCTGGTGATCAAAAGTGTTTGCTCTTCATTAGAGAGCTAGCGCAATTTATTACAAACCACACAAGCTCTCCCTACAGTAGATGCTTTTTTAAAGAACCCTTTAGGAGGAGAGTCGATTAACATCCATGTAAACTTATGAAGAATGACTGTTCTTACAGCAGTTATGGCTCCATAGCCTAACTCACGAGAAAGACATCAGACAGAAGCCTGATTTTAAGTAATCTCATGTGTTAAAACGAAACCTGATTCAGAATGTTCCTTTAAGATTGTTGCACAACACTGGGTGAAATAGCAATCAATAAAGACATGTTCACCAGGAGATGTACAGGTGCAAATGATAAAACTCAGTAAGGTGAACCTGAGAAAATGTCTTTTATCAAAGGATTTGCTGGCTGACTCTAAAATAAAACCAGGTCATCAGTCAAGTAACTGTGTGTTTTAAAAGTGTTCAGACTCTGCCTTGTTTTACCTTGTTAAAAGCAAATTCTCTTTCTGTTATTACAAACTGAAAGATTTTGCTCTAAGTCAGCTTTTTGAAAAAGCTGTCTTAGACTGCAAGCATTACTAATAATGACTAAATTTTTGTTATTACTTAATTCTTAATTTTTCCTTCATTATACCTGTTATGCATTTTGGAAAGACGAGTAAAATCTGAAAAAATAAAACAACAGAATAAACAACTAATGTAGTTATATTGTTCACCTTAACAAGACAAGTATAGGATATATAATACAGGAAAAGTAAGGTACAGCTAATTTATTTCAAAGAATACTTTAATTCCACAACAAACAATTTAAGGTAATGTCACTGAAATTAAGCACATGTTTCAACCTGACAAGTATGATAAACTAAACTACAAAAAACCTGGGACTAGGATTATCCTTATACCTGTTGTTGCTGTTTACTGTAAAACAGTGCACTATTTTATTTGACTGGTTAGAATTGTCCTTCATCTGCTCTTCATTTAGTGCTCTGTTTCTGTTGAAGTACTGTTTTCTCTCCTGTGTGTGCATTTGTTGTAATGGGGTACTTCAACTGTTCCTCTGTTTGTCACAAGAGGTGTCTGTTCAAAGGTTCTGAATTCTGAAATCTCCAGTCGGTTTATCCATTATCAATAAGTCATCCATCCATTATCAACTTATAATGGGAAGTGGCAGTCTATCCAGGAGACAAAGAATGCAAGACAACACTAAAAGCACCCTCCTGCTCTCCACAGAAATAAGAATAATTTAGAGTAGCCAATCTAATCTAGTTAGGACATCCTCAGTGATGGGTAAAAAACGTATTACCTGAACGACTTTTGTCCACCTTCTTGGGGAGGGGTAATACTTTGGAAATTTTTCCATCTATAAGTGCGATAGATGACTGCTGGAAGAACCCATCAATAGGTTCAGAATAGCATTTCTTTGTTTCCTTGAATTCAATGGGTAAGATGCAATCAGGCTTTGGAGATTTATTTGAGCTTTGCGAAAGAGTTTTGGTTTTATCGAAAAAGAGACTTGTTGTAGAAGCTGGTAAACAGCTCTATTGTCTGGCTACTTGCTGAAAAAGCAATGAAGAAGTTAGTCAGAACTAAAAAATGATAGGCTCTTCATTTGCTTTGTGGTTTGGCAGGATATAGATTATCTTAAAATTAGACTTCTGTCATTATGCTTAAAATAAAATGATGTAGTTTTCCATAAGCTGTTCGGAAATGGCCATTGATATCAGGCCTCTTCTTTGGTTCTATGTTTATAATGATTTATATATTTGCCAATTACTTTTTTTCTTGCTATTTTATATGATTTTTAAATTAAGAAAAAACATATCAACATTATTGTTATGGTAGGGAAGAAAAAAGTCACATCTAATTGCCTAAGGCTCATTGGTCACTGGACCACTGATTGGGGGAGAGCCTGAAAAGGCTCATAACATACACACCGAAAACCTGTTATTACCTGCAGTTCATTTGCCTTCTCCTTGTTTTTGATCCAGATCTTGCCCTGACCCTGGGGGTCAATGAGGAGTGGGTAGCGGGAAGCTTTGGTCACAATAATACCATTCTGAATGGACAGATCATCGTTGGGAAGACCCTGCAGGTTCCATTCACCGATGGTGGCATTGTCCACCAGCATACTGATAAGATTAAGGTCCTGAGAATACAAGGGTAAATCAAAATCCACAAAAATGAATAAAACAGGACAAGATGATGCAGTGGAAAATAAAAAGTTGCTTATCCCTAAAAACTAAAATACTAAATACAACAACAAAATTTAGATAATAGCTTTTCACATCACCATGAACATGAATATTGTCCATATACTGTACTGTAAATGCAGGGATTTGATGACGTACATCACTATAGGGGATTTTGTACATGCTCATCTCTTTTTTCCACAGCTGCAGCAAAAGGTTCCTGTACTCCTGGTTGAACGGTCCTGAGTAGGACAGGAAGCCAGTGGCCAGTAGCACATCTCCCACCAACCGCTTGATCTGGTCCTGGAAGAGTCTGCTGCTCTCTGTCCATCGGATCTAGTAGACAGACATGAAAAAGATACAGTAAAATAGAAGTCAAGACAGCACGAACAGTCACACAGTACTGTAGGTTACCCTCAGTGACAGCAAAGAAATGTACGTGGTAGGTGCAGTTTAAGGAGTAGCTTTATTTTTGACAGAAAACACAACTTATTTATTAATCTTTTCAAATAACAGAGAACAGTTCTTCCCATTGATTCTGAACTCTATAAGCTTCCAATTTTCAAGCTGGAATTCTGCTTGCAGTTTAGGATTTATTAATTTCATTTCCCATTAATTACTACCTTGCCCATTTGTATGTTGACATTCTCTGTGAAATGAGGCCTCTTGTTACAATGCATTCCATATTTAGCATATCTAACATCTATTTATGTTAGAATTTAAATCCAAGAATGCTATATTAAAATTGTACATTGCACTGATGAGACATAATTTACAATATCTTGTCAAATTTTCTGTTTCTTTAGAAAACAGCACACTGCTATAAATTGTCTTAGAAAAAAGTTCGACCTTTCCTGTGGAGTTCTATTTTGCGAAATAACAAAATGAGGTATGCACATTTTTTCACTTATTATTTTTTCCTGAACCTAAATGCCTAAACTGAGGATGACTTAGAGTATGTTACAGTCAATATCACCAAAAACTAACGAACAACAAATAAAATGTCAACTGTGTAAGTATTCAGACCTATGAACAGCCTGACCTAGGCACAGACTAAGAGCCTTCCACTCCTTAACAATCGACTTCATCATGCTCAAAGCTCCTTGGCCTTTATGGTTCAATCTTTTCTTGACATTCATTAACTGACTGAGGGATCTAGCGAGAATAGCTGTATTACTAATACTGAAATCGTAGCCCATTAAATAATAGAGAAACTCTCCATGTGTTGTAGACAAAAAAAAAATGAGGGCCAATTCAATTACCCTCAAGCATAACTATTTTAATTGTCCTGGGGGGATTTAGAACTGTTGCCCAGGACACCATTAATAGGTAGAAGTAGTTCAGGTGGGTTGGCTGAGTCAGCATGCGTAGGCTGCAAAGGAACAAGTAATAGGTTTATTCCATGCTGAAAAGAGAAGAGAGAAAACACAACGTTTTGGCTGAAGAAGGCTTCATTGTGTTTTCTCTCTTCTCTTTTCAGCATGGAACAAACCCATTACTTGTTCCTTTGCATCATTAATAGGTGCTGTGTTCTTGCCTTCTCTCCCCCCAGCCCCTCAATGAGAGCTGTGGCATTGCTCATCTTCCTCCGGCAAGCCTCAGCGTCGTCAAGCAAGGTCTGCTTCTCCCTCATGGCTGCATCGTACATGGCCTGCACTTCATCCAGCTCCTTCTGCTTGGCGTCCAGCTGCTGCTGGGCATTTTTTAGTTCCGTCTGAGCCACACCCAGACGTGCTTCTTGAAGAGTCAGGTTTGCCTACAGTAAGAACAACAAATCATTTAAGGAACAGTTTTGAAAAAAAATAAGTGCTGCAGTACACATTCAGTGTTTACCACATACACAACTGAAAACAGGAGCGATTTTTAAACCATCCGTACTGGATATTGCAAAACGACCTGATTTCAGGTGGTTATAGTATCATAAATTCCTTGCCTCTGCCTTAAATCATATTTGAAGCTTTCCAGGCACATTTTGTTTTAAAAAAAGTTTCCATCATGTGTCTTTGCAAATCTTTTAAAACTTCAGATGAGTGAGTTGAGACCTGCCTATTGCCAAAAGGCAGAGGAATGAATCCCAGTATGGTTTCTTGCATTTTCAACAATCCTCCAAGATATCACTACATATTCAAAACAGGAAAATTAAATGTCTGAACACTTTTTTGTATTTGGTGAGTTGGGTGAATTCCTGTTGTGTTGAACCTGACACAATTTTAGAATAATAATCACTAAAAACATTACACTTTATTTCTTTCTATTTGTAATGAATGCAGTACTTTTCAGTTTTTATAATTCATTCCTGTGAAAATTACAGCCAATCCCCAAGAAATAAAAACAGGCCTGTGATTAAATGTACATAATTTGGTCCAGAACTTGGTTTATATTTGCACTGCAATTCAGTAAACCATGGGGGCACTGATTATAATAATTAGGATTCAATTTATTCAAGAACTTTTTCCCCATAGCCTTTTTTAGACTTAAAATTCATGAATTTCTTTCAGCATGTGGCATAAAGTCATTATGTTAAATCCATAAACATTTTAAAATCTGCAAACTGCAAACTGCTTTATGCACTAAATATGATTTATGTGGATGGAGAACATTGTAAGATCGTCACGTTTGGCATAATGAACTGAGGCAGAAATGGTATTGCAAGTCCAGATTGCTACAAATGTCTTTTTATATAGTGTATCGCTTCACAGATCCCACTACTTCAATTTAATTACAGTTTTTGAGCAGTTACTTTAGCATTTGAAAACATTTATTTGGAATGTGACATACTATAAATTTTCACAAAGCACTATTTGCAAAATATACGCAAAAAAGGACAATAGTGAAAAGTAAAATGTGTCAAATCACCTGGCTGTGCTGATTTCCTAAATTATTTACCTGTGAACATGTTTAAGAAAAGATAGATTAAGGGTTTGAAACTTACAGTACAACAAATCAGTGTGATCCTCTTGTATCTTAATAGGTAAAATGTTTTGTTGGATATCTGGCCCTCTATTCAATTCTGTTAAGCAATTAAATCCCTATTGCACCCAATGGTTTTGAATGTACCACCTTCATAATTGTTACTATGCTAATGACAGTTGTCAGTGTGTGATACTGAGAGAGGTAGAGGGAATGGAATTACACTGCAGAGGAAGAAGTAAAAAACATAAGCTTTCTGTGGAATTAGCAAAACCTCTGGGTTGTGTGTTGGCTATAAAAGTGGAGGCTTATAAGCCTTGTAAGGGTTATGAGGCTTTATGAGATCAGTTGGGAAGAAAGGGATTCAGTCTGTGCCTAGGTTCCAACAAGGAAGAGAGAGAATGAGGTCTCCACAGCTGAAGGTTCTTAGTAGAAATAGATTGGGCTGGCTAACAGGCATGTTGGGCTCAGAGACGTGGGATGGCTTGAAGAAGGGCCTGGCTAGTGAATGTTGTACTGAGGTGTGACATACAGGTCCTGAATAGGGGGGTTTTGTGCAGAGCCCATTTGGCAGGCCAAGTGGTGTAGAAGTTCCCCTGACTGACTCATAGGATCAGGGGATATACTGTAGGAGATATTATCACCTGGAGTGAGTTATTACCATTGGAAAGGTACCAGCATATCTTCACACCACAGAAAGGAAAGAAAGATTCTAGGTTGCACACTGAATTGCAAGAGCACTCTCTGTCTCACGAGCTGCAGACAGGCAAATACAGTAGGTGCTGTGAGAGAGAGGGACGGAGTAAGGCAGAGAGAACAAAAGTAGCAAAGAGAAAGTCACACAAAGAGCAAACTGGGTGATGCTATGTCAGAGGTGGTTTGGTATAGAGAAGCATCTTGTAGTCCCTGGCCAAACAGGATCTGACAGGAAAAATAGTGATGTATAGAGGTCAGAGAAATAGTACAGGGAAAGAGAAATGGCCATTAAGGAGCAAGTAGGATCAAAAACTGTAAACTAAGTGAATATAGAAACTGCCTAGTGTGAAAGAGTGTGACGTGTTGAAGGTATGTGTATGAAAAAATTGACCAGGAAAGACATGAAGGAGGAGGAATCTGCTCAGTCCTGCCAGAAAAAAAAACCAATGTGACCCACTCGTGCTGAATAATATTGTATAAGGGCAGGCGTTGTCACATTGTTGGAGGAGAAGTCAGAGGTTTGGCTCAGCCCGTGCCCATTGGGCTGGAACTGAGCAAAGACGGCAATCAGAAACTGCAGCAAAGTGAGACACACTGCTTATAGACCACTTTGGATGAACGGGACTACCCTAACCTCTCTTTTCCCTCCAGTGGAATACTGTTCCCTCCAAGTGTAAGCATTATCGTGATTACAAATATCTTTGTTATTTTTTTAAATCATCCTTAACAATTATTCATTCCGGTAGCTACTGTACATAAGGTCAAACAGTGCCAGTATTCAAACAGTGAAACACATAGTATGCTTTTGAAAATACTGTAGGTGTCCTTTTTACCTGGTGATTAATGCACTAATTCAATCAAATGATTGTATATATATGTCACACCATGTACTCCAAGAGGGCGCACTACTTCTGTCCTGTTCATTGCTCCCTGTGATTATTCATGTCTTTCCGGTGTGTAGCCTATTTACTTCCTGTCTCTGCTCTGCTCCTGGGGTACGGTTGTCCTGAGACCCACCTAGCACCAGGTGGCTCCTGTCCGTGGCCTGAGGGCATAGGTTTCTTTACTGACATCGTCTGACCCCCTGAGCCTGGGCTAGCCTCCATGTTGCCTCTTTTGCCGCTACGCATAGGGCTCTACTGCTCACATTGTCATTCCACGGCATGCCCTTCCGATATCCGTGACAATATGTGTACTTGTATTTAACACTTACCTTAAACATCTGCGCATGCATTTCATTTTCTTACCTTTGAATGCTGAAGACACCTGCTGTAGGATGCAATGTGAGAGCTAGTCACCAAAATAAAATATACCTTTAAAGGAAGGACCTCCTTGTTGATGCCAAAGAAGTATGCCATTGCCTCAGTCCAGGAACATAGCCCTGCCACGTTGCCACAGACTTTCTTGGCTGTTTCCAGGTTATAATCTTCCATTTCCAAGTAAGGGGTGAGCAGTTCAACAACTTCTTCTGTGATGGTGTCCTGACAAGAAACGTTGCGGCAGAATTGCTTAAAGCGATCTCACCTTGAATTCCTACATACTGTGTGTGATTTTTACTGCCTGCTGTTTTTGAGAGGTGTTGAAATAAGATGACAAGTTTCTTCTTAATAATAAAAACATATTATTAGTGACATGCCATTTCAACCTATTAAAGAGGCGGCTTACCTCTAGAGTGCAGTCATACCTGCCATTAATGTTTAAACCCAAAAAGGCAATAAGTAAGTGTGACACACAAAGTGAGCAATGTAAATGAACAAATTAAGGAAAAGGGATCCCCCCAATCAGCCCAAACAGAATGAGAATAGGTGCAAGACTAAGGTAATAACCTTGAACAGAAAGACAATGTGTCTGATGAAATAGATTAAAGTGCCAAATTGGATTTTCCTTGTAAAAATAATGATTGACATTCCTTATAGGTGGACAAATGATCCTTTTAACCTGTTCATTTCATATGACCCTAGACCCTTTGGGGAAACACTAAATGGAAGATAGCTATTTCTTGTCAGTATTGGGGATTTAGCTCCAAGTTTATAAGTAAGCACTTTAATAAAGAGTAGAATAGTTTCTTCTGTCAGATTTGTTTTAAACGGTGAACCATGTAAAGATTGTTCTTCTGCAGCTGTGTGTGGATCTGAATAAAGTAGCGGAGTATCATTACTACGACTGGGCATTTTCACTGTGAATACCGCTGACTACACTTTACTAAAACTGATGGAATTCAAGAGGTGAAAATAATCCATTATTCCCATTATCATTATCACTGCAGTAGGGAGTATTCTGACATAGGATAAACTGCACAATACCTGAAAGACAATCGACTGCTGTAACAAATGATTGTTGTTAGTCACAGAGCACATAATGAAAGACAAAGTAACTTATCTGTTAGCCATAGTCTGTTCTGGAGGGCATTCAGCAAACAATTGTTTGTGGGGGCAAAGAGTTGTTTTTTTTTCTAAATGTCTTTTAAAGGTTTCATTTGCACTGCCATGTTCAAGACAGATTAAAAGTCAGTAGTAAAGCAAGTCTGACATGATTCAGAAACACCAAGGTCATCTTCTATAAAGCAAGGCCATCTTGACACTTAGAGACTAACAGTGTGATACACATGCAACACTTCAGAATGCTGTTTACCTTGCAACAGTCCTATCTCTGACTGCTATCTGTCCACCAAAAGGACTCTTCAGCAGGTGCTCTATAATTGGGATGAACGAGATTTACAGAGTGGGAGGCCACACAGATATGGGATTAACACAGATAGCAGCACACAGCAATTTCTAAAACAGCATGGGTGTTATTCTTCCAAATAAATTCCTTAGACAGTTCAAATCATTCTGTTGTTGCCTTGAAAACAGCAATGACTACAAAAATCCAAGAGTATCAAGAATTTATTCAAGCCATAGCACAACCTTAATCTATTAGTTGCCCTTACCTAAAAGCAATTCTAATTTACATTATACAACCTCAATTTATTTTTTGATTCATATGATTAAATATATATGGCCAACTGCTCTCACAATTTAGCAACATGCAGAAATACCATGAACCTTATCAATTACAGACAAGGAACATACAGTAATTAATTATTTGTTAATTTACTGTCATGAAATGGCTGTTTAATATTACAATATCTTGCTGTTGTATGGACCATAAGTCACATTAAAATCATAAAAAAATTGTAGAATTTTTAAACTCTACAAAATCCCTAGTTTCATGTCCTTACTGTTACATGTACATACAGTATACATACTGTATGTGTATGGTTATACTGTAGGTTAATGTATGATTCAGTGGACCTGCAGAATAATCACAAATCATTGAACTTTTATATTTAAAGAACTTGCATGAACCTTTGCCTTTAAATATGTTCTCAGAAATGAAAGCTATTTTACACTATCGTCTGTTGTATTACTAGTAACCTTGCTGTCACAAGTAAGTGTTACCATAGGAACTTTACATTGTGTAAATATCCTCAACACATACATACACTAACTGAACAAAAGCCAGTTTACATCACATTTGATCAAGTTATATTTCAAGGCTGCGAATGCTTCTATAATGATGTTTGAACAGCACATTGTCAGTGTGCCTTTATTGGGATGTTTTGAGATTTTTTACACAATGAACAAATCAGCTAGAACAGCAAGTTAGATTTGTACCTTATTGTACCCTAATTATTTTTCTTCACATAAAACTTGAACTATGTGAGTATGTCATACAACAACTCATTTCAAAGGTGGTTATTAACCTATGACAACCGTGCTTTCCCATCCAGTTTATCATTTTATTTCTTCTGGCAATGCACTACAGATCTACAATACCAGGAAATTCTAGAAATAAAGCACATAAACACACAAGGTACCTCATCATGAATGTAATAGAAATTGGTCCAACAGGGACACAAAAAAGACATTTCATTTTGAAACTCGCACATTCTGTAGCCCTAGCTCTCTAACCTATTGCTTTTGTTTTATGCCTCTCTCCACATCAGGTAATCATAATGGGGTAACAGGGGAGATGGTAAGACACACTCATAACTATACAGTAGTTTGCTTTAAATGTTTCATCAGCTGATTTGTTTAATTTCAAAATCTCATCTTTCATGATAAATTTTGATTCTAAAAATAAAACAGCTAACAGCAAATTCTTTTACATTTCAACAAGTGTACCTTTTAATTTTGGACCCCAATACTCAATTGACTGTGGATGTTCACACATCTGTTTTTTATAGATTGATCTGTCCTTATTCATGTAAAACCACGCTTAAAATGTTTGACATTTTAAAAATGCCAATCACCCCCATCCACCCACAAAGTACAGACGTTGAAAGTGAATGCATTGAAAAAATGTCTACTAAAAATTCAATACACATCTCCGAAGCGTTATAAGCACACACGTTCTGAAAGTCCATGGGGAATAATATGGTGCCTTATAAGACCTCTACATCATTTATCATTTTATAACTGCCTTTTCTCAGGCTTAGTTGAACTGGACAATTAGAGGCATACAGTATTTCTCGGTCATTGCCACTGTGGACTGCAGCTCAGTCAAAAGTGAAACAGAATATTATCATACTGCATATCTCTCCAATAAAACACAGATCTACATGGATACGTGAACTTCTCTGATGTGTTTCACAGCAGTTACAACCAAGATTAGATGAAGCGTAGCAGGGAGAGATGTAAACTTACCAATCAAAGGAATACAACCTGCTCTTTGTTTTCTACATATAAACAGTATATGTAGAAAACAGTATAACTGTAAATACAGTAATACATTATAACAGTATTGACCTACTTGAACTAAACAGTATAAATACAGGAAAAAAGAAACAAAAACAATGGAGCATTCTTCAGGAATATGGGGTAAAAAGGGAGAGATGCTATGTCAGAAAGGAAATAAGGTCTTTTCCTTCCTTTGTAGCTTGTATACTAATGCAGTTCCCCATTTTAATACATACACATAGCTGTGCTGTACAGATAAGCTTTAATAAGGGCAAAACAGCTGTCCATAGCTGCTAACTTTGGCTTATTATATGCAGTACACAACTGGATGTTCATTCTGTATGGTTCATTAAACATTGAGGTAATAATTAACATTCACATTTCCCATAATTCATTGTGACCTCCTGCTTTCTGATGAAAACACTTTCAAGGAACACCTTTCAATACTGCTGTATATTTACAGCATTCAGTATATAGTACTGGATGAAATTATAGAAACAAAGGAAAAAATGGATTTACAATGAAATCTACTCATTATAGATTTAAAGTCTGTGTGTTAAAATGAATTGTTTCCTAGTACAGTATTATAATGATGTGCTAAAATGGCATTATCTGTCAGATAATCCTTAATATAGTTCCACAGTGGTTCAAAGCATACATATAAACGGTGATAGATCTTGAAGATTATGGCTCCTGGGATATCATACTGTATACAATATACATTACAGTATATATATACATGTAAGTAGATGTCAAACCTTGGTATAAAATACGGCTAAGAAAATGAAGTTGGAAATTGAAGAAAATGCCTAATATTAAAAAACAGGATTTCAGAAGAACAAAGACATTCTCTCCTGGTTTCAGAAATCCAGATCAGATTTAATTGGCGAAAGAAGGGGATGCTGTTGAACAATCAAATTTGAGTTCAATCGATAACGTCTACATTTGTTTATTTTTTAAAATTGTAACAAAACAGTTAGAGGAAGCCATATATATATGCAAGAGAGCATTACATTTTGTAGTGCTAAACAGAGATGGAATTAAATCATGTTTGTTTGAAAATTGCTGATTTGGTAAAATAATGAAGGGATCTAATTTTCTAACTGTACGCCTTGAGGTTCCCCAAGGGTAGAACTATGACTTTGATTTTATTCCTTATAAATGATCTTCTGGTTGGTGACTCCCAGGGGGTATTGTTTTACACAGACAAAGGTAATATCATCCCAAGGGAAGTTGGAGTTGGTTGTTAATTCAAAAGCCCAACAAGAGCTTGTGAATGTTTCTGACATCAGCACTCAAGCCCCCTTAGAAAAGAGAAAGTAATTCTCCAATCTGGTTAAATTACAGCCAGATATGTCCCCATGTTATTGTTTCTTTTTTCATCATGAATTGGCATTACGTTTAAACTGTTGGTAGTTCTGTTTTAAAAAAATCCCTGCTTTGTTTTAATGAATATGCATAATTTGTATATGAAACCTTACTATGAAGGAGATTAATTATTTTGTTTAATTTTTACTTTTCTTCATAATCAATACACAAGTTTGTCTGCATTTCCACAACTATGCAAACATTACAGCATTTGTTATGGACATTTAACTAATGTAAGTTTATTCTGATTAATCCAAATTCAAATTACAACAATAGAAATAAAAACAACAATAAAAAGAATAATAAGAAGAGGGAAAAGAAGAAGAATATTGTGTACTATGCAACTGACAAATTAAAGATTAATTTAATTTAACAGTAATAAATTGTACAGTTGAAAAAAAAAACAGAAAAACAGAATATAATGGAATTTCTGTTTAGATAAACTATAACTACTTTGGTTTTGAGGCTCAAGCTTCTACTATGATCAGGGATTTTAGGCACTGGATGTATTTACATTTTTTGTTATTCACAAAGGTAGTTTTCAGGAGTATACTGTTTTATCTGTGTAAATCTGAAGTTTTCTTACACGCAAACAAAAATAGTGACCCTTCCTTCATCCATCAGAAATAAAGCCCCCGCTCATATTGTAAAAAAAGAAAAGCTCTAATTATATTAAACCTGTGTGATGCACTTTGGGATTCCAAATTCCACACAAGGAGTTTTTAAGGAGCTCTGTAAGACAATATGAAACACACAATGACATTTGGATTCTCAGAGGACATCATTATTTTTGGGGGTTTTCCTTGCTCATTTCCTAGAGGAACTACTGTAAATAATGGACAGCTTCAGGGACAGTACTGCCAATACATTGTCCCCGCACTGATACCGCCACATAATAACAATATTGTAAGTAGATTTTCAACACTAATGCAGTGCAGATATTCTGGAATAGAAAATGGATGTTGTTCTTTTAAGAGCTTAGTATCGGTTAGGGTCTTGATGTCTTCATGTTTTGTTTCTTGTAGAAAGACCTAGAATAACAATATGGATTGCAGAAAGAAGACAACTATCATGTAACCTTCCCCTCAAAACCATTTAGATTTTCTGATTGCTGAAGGAAAACAAGAATAAAATTTTTCAACCTTGCATTACTTTCATGAAAGGCAATTTTTAACTTGCTGTTCGAAAACCAGGAGCTAAAGTGTGTTAGATTTTTTTTATTTTGTATAGCAGCTATGCCAGGATAGTCCATACTACTAATAAATTAAGGTTAAAAATTATGATACACTAGAAGAAAAAATAGCAAGAATCACTGTTTATTTACTACCACTTATGAATGGATAAGACACAAAGTCTTATTTCATTATTAGTCTGGTAATTACTGAGTTTCTGAGTGCAGGTAAATGGATAACAGTGATAGAGAGAGGAAATTAGAGAGATGGAGAGAATCAGACTGAAGGGGTAGATGCAAATGGGAATTTTTGAGTTTGGTATGTGATGAAGATTAAAGTAAGAATTGATATGAAGTTTAAAGCATTTTGTAGAATTATTGCTACTATATGGATATTATTTACTACTGCACATGTACTGAAGTTGAGGAATTGGGAGATTTAAGAAATTGCAAAATTCCCAATATTGGCCTCCATTCTGAAACACATGAAACATAACTGGAGAAATCCTCTCACAGATGGGTGTGATAGCTCCAGTTACAGTAAACAGTCCTTCAAACAAAGTCCCAGATACAGATAAGCCTTTTCATGAGTCATGATCCAAATTCAGACCATCCTGGGATTACGGTCCCACCACCTCAAAGATATCGAATTATCATTCAACGTTTGCTTCAAGCACAAAGGCTGACCGCTGCCCCTCACAGAAAACAGAAGCCACTTCATTACATGAAACAAGAATCAGTTTTGCAGGTGATGAGCAGAAAAAAGCCAACCATATGAAATTACCACTATACCATTGAAATGATATTGCCAGCTGTCTCGTTGATAATTTAACATTTTACTAAATAAAACTTTTTTCGTTCAATACCAGATCCCAAGATTACAAATTAATCCCATATCCACAACAGAGAGAACTGTGAAAGATCTACAGTATTTTTCAGCAGCACTGAAAGAGTGCAATACAGTACATTTACAATACCACATTGAATTATAAGCACGTTCATACTGTAAACCTTGTCCAAGACCCACCTTGGTAAAAACACATTGCCATTACATTGTAGCATCACAGAAATCCCTTTATAATTATTTCTGTATCTTTCACATGCCCTATATTTCCTTGTGAGCTGTTTATGTGTTTTAAATTGGTTATTGAATATTTTTTGTTGTTATATGTTCAAATATAATATTAGCTTTGCATTGAATTGAAGTATCAAATTTCTAGTAGTGTGAAGACCTTTAGACATTAACCTGAGTTATATCCCCCACAGCTGTGTACAGATATTCTAAAGTTCATTAAATATGTTTGTTTGCCTTTTAGAGCATCCAGGAGTGAGTCCTATTCTCTTCTTTGATCAGAGTCTGATTAATTGTCAGTCTTCTGAGGTGTAAAGCAGATAAAAGTCCTGAAATTTCTGCGTTAAAAAGCACAAACGTTTTCTAGCTCTCACCACATGATACAAATGTCAGACAAAGAAATAGTCTCAGCTTTAATGATATCAGAATTGCAAATATCCCCTTCAAGTCACATCAAATGTTGTTTCTGCTGCCTACTGTATGTGCAGACTAAACTGCTGTGTGACACCTCAGGTAGTGGCATTTTCTGATGTTCCTACTCCCACTGGGCTTCCAGACTGCTTCACTTCTTTTCACTTTGAAGTGATAACTAATATTTACATGTTTTGTTGGGGTTTTTTTAAGGAAGGGTAAATTACATTGACATGGATTTCAGGAACTCACTGGAAAGTCTGTGAGTGACACTAATACTGAATAGGAGAAGTTATGGAGCAGGGTAAAAAGAGCACAAAATGCTGTACATAAAAGAAAATAAGCTAATGGAATCAGTCCTCGAACAAGTGCATGCTTACTATTTCATTATGTACAGTATGCCTTAATATTGAAAGAATATTATGTAACCTCTTACATTTTTTTATTTGCTATTTTAAGCAAGCATTTTAAAAAATTAATCCACTTAATCAATGGAAGTGAAATGGAAAAGTGTGTACTTTGCTTACCACATATTCTAGAACTTAGTTATGGAAAGATGTTTTATAGTTTCTACTGTAGTTTTTTGGATGATTTAGTAATTCAATACATTGGTACAAGCAAATCACAAGAAAATCTAGTATAAAATGTTATTAAAACAGCACCATATTAAACTATATGAATCTCCTATTTTCAGACATATATAGTACATGGGACTGGTGGTGTGAGATAGTTCTTAGGGTTCGTCCTGGACCCCATGACCAGATTTGTATAATTAAGCAATCTACTGCACTTTAGCAATTGTTCTAGTGAAGCCTGCTGGATAAATAGCTGCCTGCCTCTAGGGGATTCAAAGTACTTAACACTATAGACCAAGGATAAGCTCTGTGAGACAACGTGTTTCCTGTCATCTGTTTTTAAATTTAAACTTAATAAAAATGCTAGATGAAACAACTGAAGAAGCTAACTGTCAAACTTTTGAAAATCATTTTCATTCATAAATGTTGTATTATTTCTGATAAGGCTGAATGCTTGGTGGAAATGTCAGATGTTAAAATGTGTAACTAATAAAGTTTATAGATTTTCTACTGAGCGAGTTCCTGGTGACTTGACTGTGCAATTGTCTTTCATTTTGCCATTAAACGTTTAAAATATGCATGACTGCAGTTGAATTAATATGCTTCTGTAAGTACAGTACATGCAAAGGGAATGCCATTTCATGCAAATAAAAATTCTTAACTCAAAGTACGAAGCTGCATTGAATAAGATCAATTTCCTGGTTTGGTGTTCTCAGTTAGCTATTAAATTAATTAATCTAGGTTAGTGAAAACATCAACATTAATATCCGTTGTCCATGTGTGCTCTGCGTTGCATTTTTTATCCTCATCTCCCTAATAACCCCTTGTTTTCTCTTGATTAAATTACTACACAAACTGGCATCTTTTCAGATGGCTGCACAGTCAGGCCAAATGTTGAGTGTTAAATCTCAAGAGTGTTTTCGTCAGAGCAGTGCGGTCAAGTACAGTACATCCCTAATCAAATAGAAAAACATTTATTTGCCTTTCACTTAAACTACTGGAAATAAACTAAAACAACTTAATACACACCACTGATAGTGTCCCCTAGATCATCATATTATTTTAGGCTGAATGGTTTTATTTTGTCTCTGCTGTATCTCTTATTTTTATCACCTCACATGGTGAAAAACTTTATTCAGTAAAGACGTATGAGCTGCCAGCACTTTTCTTAAACCTTATCAACTATCAGAAATTAATGTTTAATTAAAACAGTTTTAAAATCATATATATTTTCTGCTGTCATTCAATATTTTGAGATGACAGAATAAGTTACCAAGGTGTTCCTCATACTGTATCACTGGGGAGCTTGTAAGTCTTCAGTTTGACAAGTCCATGAGTATAACACATTTTCAATGGGTTGGACTTTTAATCCCTTTCTCCCATTATTAAGAAAAGGTGTCTTTTACTACATCCCCCCCCCCCATCATTCCCTCCTCTTTCTTCTGCTCTCTGCTCTTTTCCAATCATCTCCTCTGCCCAGCTGTGGAAGATCCAGCTACCAACAATCATAAAGGCTGCGCTATCTCTCACCACCTTCTGTCACCTCTTCAGAACTCCCCTGTCGAGACTGCACTCACAAACCCAGTTATCTGCTGCTGCCTTGCACACACTGACTGCAGTCCTGCTCTTCACTCCCGCTACCCCTTATCCCTGCACATAAATCATTTTGTATTAGTTTTATGCTCCGTGTCATTACTACATCATTTTCTGCACTAATGAGGCTCAGTACTTTGCTAGGTAATGAACATTAAATGGCTGCTTGCAGATACCTTTTGGAAAGTGAGTAGCATGCTAAGGAACCCAGAGTTGTTCATGAGCTTGAGGGCTTCGCTCCAGGAAGGCCGCAGGCAGGGTCTCTCTGGGTCCATGGTCACAGGGTCCACCCTCCTCTGGAACAGCAGGAGGACGCAGTCCATGATGCGCATGATCAGGTGGGGAGGCTTTCCCAGTTTCCTTACAGTGGCAATGTCCGCTGGCTTGATAGTCTACAAGAGATGAAGGGCCGACTGTGTTAGTTCACTGACAAATATGTGTCCCGTAGTCAAATCAGGAAATATCGGACACTTACAATATATACATACTGTATATGCTTCCAATGTATGTTTTCATATGTCTGAGTAATTCGGGTACAACTGTTTTTATACAGTATATTAGGACAAGGATTGACTCTAAAGTGAATCCAGTGGAAGACACTAAGCCAATGAATATACTGTAAAAGAGGCCTTTTCTTCACTGTAGCATCTACAGGATGGGCGCAAGTCTCATGAAAATGGAATTAAACCCCCAAAGCACTTCTACGTTTTTACAGGCTTAGAAAAAAAAACTAATAATTTATTCATTGCAGAAATTAAAAGAGGGCTCAGATGAAAAGAAAACCAGAAAGCTATGTGGACAAAGAAATCATTCACAGCACTGCCAGGCAGATCAGTTATGCTAGTAATGGCCAACTGAAGACATCAAGATTTATTTGATCATTCTGCAGTTTTTCCTCCCAAGACTTCGTCAAAGAGAATGGTAAAACCTGCTGTTCTCTGGTTTATCATCACTATCATAGAATGTTAAGATGGCAGGAATGACCAGGCCTAGTAATCAGGACAGGCAGTGGGGATGATGACTGGTTCAAATTCTTCTGAAAGAACACATGCACTTCCAATTGAGATATGCATGGATTTGGTTCATGATAATCAGCTGCTGCCTATTTGTGTATTGCTCTTCGTTGCAATGATCTTCTATGGATTGTACGTCAAGAGCAGACTAAAAAGAGCTTAACGGCTCAGAAAATACAATCGCATATTTCATAAAGCACTGCAGCATACTACTGATATTTGAGGTGCCAAGATAGACTTTGAAAACAATGCTGCTCACGCTGGGCCAATAAATCACCTTTTCTTTTTTATAATGCTCACTGACATCAGAATATTTTATTTCAGACATGCGATAGAATAATCTACATTGTCTCATTTTAAAAATGCAGCATATATCCTGATCACGTTAGAAGGCATTAACTTACACAGTAAGGCATCAGGAAGGACATGCAGACCTTTTCCAAATGATGACCTTGTTGGTTGGCATGTGTTGTCTACATAAGTCCAGTCCCAATATTTAGCTCAAAATCCACCAGAGAACTCTATTCTCTACCATTTTTAAAATAAAGTCTAACTGTGTGTTTAAAAAACTAAAGGAAATTAAGGAGGTGGGATACTTGTTTCTCACTGTGGCAATGCAGAAAACACAGACAGAGCTAACATCCTTAATGGATGAGTCACCCTAATGCCATATTACTGTAATATAATCAAATATAACTGTATTATGATTCAAATTTTGATGTTAAATTCCATAAATAAATTGCACGTTTGATTAACTATAGGATGTGGTGCTTCATTAAACATTATAAATGGCTAATTTCTATGCCTTCTTCTGGTAGCAGCAATGCTAGATATTCAGTCCAGGCAGATATTCCAGTTCTTTATTCATAAACTGAGCTCAGATTTAGCCAAGACAGAGCGTTACATGGGAGTGCAATCTAACCGATTGTGTAGTCAGTTGTTTTTCAAATACGTCAAATAAGAGCTATGCAGAGTAAACAAAATGACTCACTTCCTAAGAAAGCAGGAAAGGTAACAATTAGGCGTATACAGTAATACTGAGAAATTGAATTTCAACTACATACTACTACTGTACATTTTATTACTCTGTCTGGACAGTAGTCAGGAAGCTCTAGAAATTAGTGATGTTGTGTTCAATGCCTTGAGGAATGTGATTCATTGCTTAAACTAGTGTTACAAAATGAAGTTAGATTTTCAGCAAGCAAGATAACATGATAGCTTTTCGTGTATGGAGTACAGTAAGCAGGAACACTACACAGCATGTCCTATACAATTCATGCCTGCCCCCTAATGGTAGACTGCATTCTTTTACAATTATTCTCTTTAATATGACTGCTTTTCTTACTACTTTATGTGATCATCAAGCCTACTGTATACATGTATAACAGTATCCTATTATTAAATTTACTATAAAAGTGACACATTAATAATATAATATTTATAATACACTAAAGTAGCTTTGTCATAGGTTAATTATTACTTTCATGTTTATTTTTGCTCGGGAATAATATCAGCACATACTCTTTGCTACTTTAATTTAATCTTAAAACTAAAACATAAAATTGTAAAGATATTTCCCTACAGCAGAAGTATACGCAGCCAGAAACTGTATTTTGTGAGCAGTACTTTGTCATGCTGTACAAACAACATCTAAATAAATCATAAAGTATTAATTGCACTGCAGGTTATAGCATATGTGAGATGTCATGTCTTGGGATTCACAAGCTTTGCTGTTTTAATGAATGCTACATTTTAATTTCTTCCACACATTTAAGTTGATAGTTTCTGGAGGCTTTTTTGACAGCATGTAGGAAGAGCACAAAAGAAGCTAAACAATATTTAGCAAATGTAATTATTATTAGGATGTCAGGAATAATGATATTATCTAACAAGCCATCCATTATCTGAAAGTCAAATGTCTTTGAAGCACAGGGCTCAGGAAGATCTACACCCTGCACAATATCATTCCATCAGGGGTAAGTTACAATCTAATCTCCCATAAAAATGAATTACAATTTTTGTATTAATTTCAGAAGTCCAGCTTTTGACCATAATTTCTGGAATAAAGTAAACACACTTTATAAGTTATAAGAGGTCTAAAAAATTGATCTACTGTAATAAATGACTGAAATTAGTTTTGCATTACTGGGTAAAAATCTATTCACAGGCCATGTGCATTTTACGTTTGTTTACTTTAACTTGGGATCAAATATTGAATATTATATTAAACAAATTCCTCCATTGAAACAAGTGAAGGAAAGCTCCATAGCTCTACGGGCAATTAATGTTAGGATAATTCTTGGCATTGTGGCAACATTTTGTGAAATTTCATGGCATCCATGCTTAAATAAAAAGATGGAAACCATTTGGGTTTCTGCGCCGAAATCCCAAATTCAGGACCATCAAGCAGTTCCATCACATCTTCGGAGGATGTCTTTGCTTTTAGGGGAAGGATATCTGACCAGCATTCACACAGACACACCACATCAAAGTCCACTATGAAGACCTGAAGTAATGAGCAGTGACAAACAAAACAAAAGACACAAGCGGAAACTTCATGGAAGAGCACTTCAAAAAACAGTAAAATCAGAAGGCATTTCTTTATCCAAAGTGTTGTGGGAGTATTGAATAAGCTACCCATGTATGTTCTTGAAGCCTAAGCTGTAGCTTCTTTCTAGATACCATTTGATGAGATCCTTGGATCAATTAGCTACCAAATGAACTAAACTTGGCCAAATACATTACAGGGAAATTTTAGTTAAGTTTTTTATAGGAAAAACTTAACCAGAAAACGATATACTAGGAAAACAATGAAAGTAGCCTCTCAGTGTAGGGGAAAGGAATCTGGCATTAGGCGGCTTCTCTAGTCATATTAACAAACCAACTGGGAAACTGCTGTTCACTTGCAGAATGAAAAGCTGCCAATTTAATTTGCTCTCCTTCAGGCAGGAAGAACTCATATTGGCAAGGTGTGATGCAATTGGGAAAGGGGGGAGTGGAAGAAAAACAGCAGCTACTATCAATGACAATGAATAATACAATCTACCTTAGGCTAGCAACAGCTAGAACTAAGGTTAACTTTCTAGCTTTTGGCAAGGAAACATCTTTTCACAACCTTCAACCCCAAATCCTCATAATACTTGCTATGGTATTCCCACACACATGAACAGACATTTGAAGTTAGTCCAGTCTATTTTAAAGTAGTTTTAGTCCCTTGATATTAATTGCAACTATAAGTCAAAATCAAGCTACTGGCATTTTTCAAGAATTTTTTAATGTATTTTTTTCCTTGTACAGGCATTGCATTTGTATTTAAATGCATGTCCATGCACACTCCATGAAAATACTGCATTGATGCATCACCAAATGAGAAAACTTTTGCATCTTTTAATTTTTTTAACTAAATTAATATTTTTAATGGTTTGCATGTGTCATGGAGAGATGTGTTAATTAGTATACTGTGTTTTATTATGTTCTGTACACTATGACTTGCTTAAAATCAACAGTGACGGGTCAAGGTAACATAAAGTCAAGCATGACTTATCTGTATGGTTAAAACAAAACTAAGGGGTACATACTGTATAGAAAACATTCATTTTTACAAAAGGTCCATGCTTTCCATTTTTACAAAGATATTTACTTTGGTTATATGCCAGAAATGAAAAATCTTCCCTCTCAATTAAATTTTTGATTATATGAAAAACTACTTTTTCTTTTTGTTTACCATAACTAGTCTCAAGCTTGATTGACATCTTCATACTTGTTTCAGCAAACTAGGAGCTAAATCTGCTCTAGAACAAGAGTAAATAGCTTTGAAAATCCCAAAAGAGGGTAATTTTGTTTGTCACTATCATGTGCAATGTGACACACCTGCAACATTCGGATAGCTTAAAGTTTTAGGAATGCTATTCAAATTCAAAACATTGAAGCAGAATATGATAAAAAACATACAAATCTGAAAACTATGATGAGATAATTATACCAGCACTAACAACAATAATTAACTACAATGCCTTTTTGAAGAGATAATTCTGCTTTATATTTTCCTGAGAATGAACCTGTTGTGGTTTTAGAAACAAACAATATACTGTATTTGTCATCCTAGCATACTAAAAAAAATTTTGCTATAAAAACATTTCAAAATTCTCTTGAAAGAAAAAAAAGTGCAGGTGTATTCACTAAGGGGGACCTACAAAAATCAAATCATATTGTTTTCCCTGAGAACAGTGCTCCACATAATTATATGCTATAACTTTTATTTTTGGAAGTATGAGAATTATATGCTTCAGATGACAGCATCCATGTGTTGAGAGCATGAATAAAACATTAAAGAACACTTTAATCACTAACTGACAGGAATCCCTGGCTTGTTACTAAAGTGAAATGCATTGTAAAATACACAGGTTCAGATTTAGAAATGTCTCTATAATAGAAACAGAATTTATGTGTTTTTTTTAATTACTGGATGTTCAAAAACAGTGCAAGTTTGACCTCTTGTTCAGTTACAGTAGGTAAAGTAGATTACGGAGAAAACAAGTACTGGAGGAGAACAAATTATTTTACTAAGACTATAAAAGATTAGTTTTAATTTTTAGACCATGGTAAGCAACATCTTCTTCTCCAGTCCTTGCAGTAATGTTTATTTTGTGCATTAGTCTTTTGCGTAGTATGCTCCAGATGGCTGCTTCCACTAGAGTGATGGCATACTGTGATTTTAACTGTGGCTGGTAACTTTAACAGTTGTCATCCAAAAGGCCATACTACCGAAGCAGTCAATCTTTGATGTAACAAAAAAAAACTTAACCACCTTTGTCCTGTCAATCAAACAATTTTCTTTACACTTCCAACATTTGTTTTTATTCATTATAGAAATGGATTTATTCAATCTTTACAGTGACTTCCCTGTTTTGCTGTGCTTCATATAGATTTAGGTATGATACCACATAAGAGGTTTGAAGCTGTTTGGTTTATTTTAAGCTATTTGTTTTCTAAAAAAATCATGTTCATTACATTACTTTGGACTTCTACAATGTCACTTAAACATGTATAGTATAAAGTATTCTGCTATTCAAACTTATCCAAATTTAAGTTGTGTGATATAACACAAATATTTTCTGTTCAAGGATGCTTAACCTCACACCTTCAGCATATACTGTAAGACCAAGTTTTCTCTTCATTTTTTTGTTTTATGCAGTATATACCCACTGTACAGTATATACAATATATGCCCAGGAACCATACCCATTTTGCAGTGTTCCTGTCAGGCTGGAACTCTACGGAGTGAGCTAGTGTTTCCATGACCGCTGGCTACACCTCTCACCTGTCTCTCTGGGCCAGTTGCCATGGAAAATGTTGCAATGTTTTGACAGGAAACCTGTATCACCTGTGGGCAATTACACCATGTTCACCACAGGTGATACAGAAATTTAAGTTATGCTCTCAGAATTCTTGGGGCTCTGGAACAGAGTCTGTTCTCTAGCATGTGCTCTGAATTTCATCTTTCTAGCTTTGCATTTCCTTTGTCCCCGACCTCAACTCTTGGATTTCCCCATCGCTGTTGTTATGGACTTGGCTTGTTTCTGGACCTTGTCTAGGATTCTCTTTGTGTTTCCCTACAGTGTCTTCCTGATTTCAACCTTCACTAGTTTGGATACAGATCCTGCCTGTGTGCCTAACCTGCTACCACTCCACACTGCCTGAAGCTTCCATGTTTTTCTCTCTCTTGCCCAGCACACAGATTCACCTTATGTCTCACAGATCCACTGCCTAGTTCCACATCAGAATAAGACAGTTCCACAGATGAATGACCCTTGCTCAGGATGAAAAGTCACCTGAGCAGATAAATAGGCAAATGGATGACCTCATGAAGGTTCACAGACACAATAAGCACATCCTATGCTATGCTTGTATTCATTACTAATGCTGTTTATTCAAAGAACCCTATGCTAAGACCTCACCTTTTCCATGCTGACTACATTGTAAAGTCCTATTGCCTTACAAATGATCCTGTAAATTTAATTCTAATTGTTTCATAAGCATACATGTAATGAAACCAGGACTTAACATATTGGTCTTTAATTACTTGGTTTCCTTTGTCAACCTTTTAATGGATGGGTTCTACAGCACATTAGTGATTTCTAGTCAATGGGGACCCTTGTCTTGAGAAGCTGTTAGGACATTTCTACTAATGGCCTGTATGAATTACATTTTCCATTTCTTTAAGCACAATTAGCCCTACAGACCCTACTGATTCTTAAGGCTTATAGAACTTGTAAAACTGACTTTTTTACACTTATACAGTATGATTTAATACAGAATTTTGTGTTTTCACAGCTGAGAGTGTTGCTTTATTTCTTTGTAAGCACCTGAGTAAAATAATACTGTACATCAGCCATTTTCCATTCATTATCTAAAGCTTTTCCATGTTAACCTTTGAAACACTTGAGTTAATTCTTTACTGTTCTTTTGCTGTTTTAATGCTGCAAAAATACACCAATTATTTCAGTTGCTATTACAATAAGTTTGTTTCTTGTTTTCTATTCTCGATTTATGTCACCTTCTACTGCTGTTGCTTTGATGATTTGAGGTGCATACTGTAGCTACAACAAAGTTCATTATTGATGCTATAAATGGTTTCACATACAGTAACTTGCAGATGGTGTCTGGCAGCCATCTGTGTTGTGTAAACAAGCTTTCAGATCTACTATATAGTGCATCAGCAAATACACACTAGTACAATCAGGACCAATAGTGACTGTGTAGCCCAGAGAGCATGTTTTGTACTTCCTTCTCAGATGTGTTTAATAGCAATTCAAAGACCACCTCCCCCCTAGAGTAATTTTCAGGACAAATAGAGTATGGCTCTCCAAAATGAGCAACACTAATTTTTTTAGATGCAGCTCATTAGAAGCAAAAGACTATCAACCCTGCATTTTGTGTGACAGTCAATAAAACAAAAAGTGAGTAATTATGCGATGAACCTAATTATATTATAATTTGAACTTCCTCATAAAGCATTTTATCCTTTTTGTACAGGACCATATGTTTTTTTAATGTTGTAGAATGATTCGCTCAATTACTTCACATGATGTTGTGTGTTATTTTGCACACATTTGTGTATCATCTGCACTGTTTTTGAGCTTTCTTGAAATTTAGTCAGACTGTTGACTGAAGTGTTTAACCTTTTTTATCTCCTTCTGTTAACATGTCATGATAAACCAGGATCTTTGTCTTGATATTGTCGGCAAAAATATCAATGATCATTATGGTTAGCACCCTCATCATCACACCCCTATGAAACGAGAGGCTTCCTCTATTGGAAACTCACCTGAAGTGCTGCTTCAGCCCCAGCCAGCGCAGGCTTGGCTGCCTCCAGTTTGGTCTCTGCCACAGCTTTGTCTGCTTCAATTTCATCCACAATGGCCTGGGCCTTGTCCTTCACCTTCTGCACCTGCATTTTGACCTGCTCTGCTGCCTGGGCTTTGACTGTCACCTCTTGCAGGACCCCATCTGCTTTCTTGGAAGCCACTTCTAGGTCCTTTTCCTTCACAGCCAACTCCTTTGACAATTGACTGACTGACACCTCTGCTTCCATCAGCTTTGCAAGGCCTAGGGCGAGAAAAAGTGCTCACAATCTGAATTTCAATTAAGCAATTAAGCAATTAAGAACCAATTAAGACCAACCACATTTGACTATTTTACCAGCAAAGGTATTAACGCTGTGTTAGTGTAGTTCATTGTTGACCTACTGCTATAGTATCATTGCTGTCAGACAGTAGGTTAGATAGCTATTGCCTTCTGCTCTCCTCATGCAAAAGAAATTGGGGTTATAGAGAAAATTCAAGAAAAGCTTCATCCCACCTGTTTTCATGCGGTCGGCAAGCATTCCAACATGGGCGATCTTCTCAGTGTAGATGATCTTATAGCCTTCTATGAAGGATAAGTAGGACTTGGGAGTGACATAGGTCTGTCGGCGGAAACGCTCAAAGTATTCTACACACTTCTCTGCCACCAGGTCCTGGAAGCTGCCCATGGAGCCCACTACACTCTGTTTCACCTCTGTCGAGCATTCAATCTTATAGGAGGCCAGAAAGTGCTGGGCCACAGCCACAAGAGCATCACGGGGCCAGCGCTGGAACCAGTCCATTGTGCAGCCAGAGATGAGGCCAGGGAACTTGAGCGCCCTCGTGCGGAATTTCTCCCCCACAGGCGAGAAGCAGAGGACCACATGCAAGTTGCTACGCACACGGGACAGAAAGTAGTCATAGAGGTTCTCGGCAGTGGGAGGCCGCCTGGGATATTCTTTCTTCATAACAGGAATGAGGTCCTGAGTGATTTCATCCACCTCATCTCGTGCAAAGAGGTTAGATACCTCGCCGGATGCTAGCACATTGTTCATGTACTCTAGGAAGGATTCGTCTTTGATCTCATTGTCCGTGAAGATGAAGGTGATGCCTTTCCCCTTCTGTCCAGCTGTTCGGTACAGGTGCTTCAGGTCGTCCATTAAGTTACTTGTGTTGTACGTCCTTCAAACATAGGAAAACAAGACAAAGGGGATTCCTTTAAGAATTACCAGAAATAATTTATTGCATTCTGTAGATGTTGTACTGTGGGAATGTTTTAAGCTTTTGGACAAAATCTGGGATATAGCTGTAGGCAATGTCTGTTATTACTCTAGGATATGGTACAATCCATACCCTCTGCTACTTTCCCTGTTTAAAAAAAAAAGAGTGAAAAACTACATTTCACAGTTGGCTTCAGAAGGCATGGGTTAATTGAGCATAAGTGATGACAACAAAAACCCGTGCTCAGGTTAAATAAAGATGGGACAAATTAGAGCTTGGTTTGTTTTTTTCTTTTTTTTTTTACTTAGGTGGGTTGTCACAGTTTGGATCATCAAGTAAGAAAAGATGGTGTGGTAAAGGGTAAAGACAACATACTGTACCCATAAATACCCATAAATCCATAACCAGAACAAGTAAAATTAAAAACCCGCTTCTTCCCATCTATCTCTTTTTCTTCAAATTAAGCACGGCTCAGCCAATAGTTTTGAAAATCACATGATTATTAATAGTAAAAATAATAATAACTCATATAAAATGATTAAATCATACTGTATGTGCTCCATGATTCCTAGATACTGTATGACTTTTATGGTGCATGATAGTCAAATTATATCACAATGTTTTACATTTGCATAATGACAGACATCAAAGACATAAATACATTAATGAGTGAATATAGTGTACAGTCACAAACAAAACATTTCATAGAGTCTTTGTGCAATACCTGCCTTTTGAAATGCACTGACTTAAAGGAATAGTTCAATCATCATTTTAAGATATTTTTGTGTAAAACCAACTAAATAACAAGTAAATTCTTTCAATTCTTTAATCAATTGTAATCAATTCTTTATGGTTTTTTAAAATTATTTTCAGGTAGAACCAAAAACCTTACAGGTCTACATGTTAATAATAATAATAATAATAATACTTGCTTAACAGGTAATACTTAACATAGTGTGCTATCAATATCGATTTTTTTTCACATAAATCTATCAAATGTTTGATGTGCATATTAATTTTAATTTGGGACACACCTCAATGTTCAGCCTCACATGTCGGGAGGTCTTTCTCTCTGACAAAGCAACCACGGTTATCTTTGCTTACCAGATGTTTTCATTTACCTTGTCAGAGTTATTTGGAAGATTTCATATCCAGCAATAAAGGAAGCCAATCGGGTTAAGCTCTGCTTTCCTGACCCTCCCACTCCCACCAGCAAAGCATTCCCCTGTGGGGTGCAGATGATTCGAGAGATCTTCACCAGATGTATCATGGCGTCCTGCCAAAACAAACAGAATGGCTGACTGTAGGCTGAGCCAGTAAATCACTGCAGACTGCCCAGGTATAGCTTCAGATTTCTTTTTTTCAAAGTACTGGGTTGTCTCACTATAGCAAATGGACTGTGCAAGCCATGACCATTGAAAATGTTACTTTGCTCTTAAATGTGAATTAGTTTCACATGTAAACTTTTAAAACGATTTATTGCATTATATACAAAACATCTCACAAACCAGAAATTTCCATTTCTGTTGTCATATGAATGAATGTAGCGAAAATAAATAGATTACAATGAGTATAGACAAAGGTACAGAATATAATTTAATATTTTACATCTTTTCTGGATTTTTATCTCCATTAATTTCTCTCATTACATACTGTACAGTATGTTTGGTCATTCAGCAACTGCACCCATGACATTATTCTCGCATAATAATGCAAACAAGGTTCCAGTAAATCTTTAGAACCTGTATATTCATATGTCAGTAAAAGTATTTTACAAAGGAATAAAATGTGTATTTCAAATTAGCCTGACACAGCTGCATGTCTATAAATGCATCAAATATAACATTGTAGGTGAAAAAAGTCTTCTATTTAGTTCTAAATGTACATAAAAAATTCATTGTGCACAACTCTCAATAAAAAATACAAATAACTCTTGAAACTGTCAATGACTTTTCACTTAAAACATGCACTATAATGATACATTTTATCTGGAAAAATCATATTTGTCATTTTTTCCTATTACCATTTTAAAGGCATGATTGATAGTGGGAAAATGATCTTTATCATTTTTTTCCTATTACCATTTTAAAGGCATGATTGATAATTTGGATTAACTTCCCTATATTAAAAGAACAAAAGTACCAAGCAGCTTGAGGCAGATCAACACTATTATTCATATAACATGAAGTCTTTAATATTATGAATAGCCTCCTTCAGAAGCCAATATTTATTCTGCAAGATTTAGTCTGTTACTACTGACATCCACACAAAATTGGGTAACAAAGCAGAACTGTTGCATTTTGATTTCTTAAAGACACTGCCAATCACACTCTGTCTCTGGAAGGCATCATAAATTACCAAGATATATATATTTTTAAATGCTGCAATCCATGAAGGATTTCTATAGTAATTTATATCCTAGTTTCATTTCAAATGCTTAATGACAACATTACATTATGCACAGAAACTCTAATTTAATAGCTTCCAAATATTACAATAATAGATTTTGTGACTGCAGTGTGAATGATATCTAAAGTAAGATTAACCTAATCTGTTCAGGTTTAGCAGATTTGTTATATGCAGCAGGTAAAAGAATCAAACAATTTTTGTAAGTCATAATTTTTTTTTTACTTAAGGTCAGCCAATTTCTCACAAAAGTTTAAATGTCAAATTGTACATAGTAGACAGTTAAGGAAATGAATTCATTTAGTTAGAACATGCCAATAGATAGAAAATAATTATAAGATAAGGAGAAAATGTTAAAATTGGAGTGTATGTACTGTAATTAGCGGAGTACCACAGGGCTCTGTTTTAGGTCCACTATTATTCTGATTTAAACCAATGATCCTGGGTCTGGTCTAGTGAGAAATCTAGTCAAGTTAGAAGAAGACTATTTTATGACAATTGCAAGGTAAAACACTGTCAATGCTACAAAATAAATTTATTCCTGAAAAGAAAAAGATATTGTCAAAGTGAAATCTACTAACATCTCCATTATTAATGAAACATGACCTAAATTATACTAATGTAAAGTACTGTAGGGGGAAGTGTATTTAAAATGAAAAACGGGAGGTATTTATATTTTTCATATTCACAAGATTCTTAAATATTAAAGGGATGCCTTAAGTGCTGTGTATTTACAAGCAGTTATTCATTCCACAAGAGTCCCCCAGAATTAAAACCTAACTGATGTTTCTTTTTGTACCTACACTTACTGAAAAACTTTATATACTTTGTACAGTATATAAAGTATATACAGTTTTGCAGTAAGTGCAGGTACAAAAAGAAAGTCACCCTGAATAAGAGTTTCTGTTAAAATGGAGATGATAGTAATAATTGTGATAATAATATGTAGACATGTAATTTAATGAATACCAGTGTACTAGCAATACATCTGCTTGCAGGTGATTTTCAATTTGATTCATAGGCAGTTCACAATGTCCTCTAGGCATTAACTCATAACAAGTGAAATGTAACTAGAATGTAGAAGGTTTTCATAAAGTTTTTATACAGTATGTGTGTGACGAATAATTTATAGCAATGGTGAAGTTTATTCTTAGCAAACAAATTAGTAAGTTCTGTGATTATTTGAGTGCCTTCTTTGCAAAAAATATTTATTTCCTGGACACTGCCAGGTAGCCAAGGTAAATATGTATAATATATTTACTTCCCCAGACAGAAATTTGAAAACCAGAAAGGGGTACACTCAGAACTTATAATTTGCCTAGAGAAGTCAGCTTATGGTGATTCATTATATTTTCTAATAGATGTTTTGAAATGTATCATAGAAGATAGGGTAAGGTAAATAACCCCTAGATTCAAGACACTGGACAGTTTGTCGCCAGAAAAAAACATCTGAGAAAGCTTCTCAAACTCCAAACCCATTTTAGCTGGTGTACTTCATTATATTTCTTTGGTGAACATGGGTTATTTATTTCTGTGGCTGACTTGAGGAATGATTACTTTTCCAATTCAAAATTAAAAATGATTTCCTCTACCCAGGTGCTTCCATTGACAAAGTAAACCTCAGCGTATCGGGGAAACATCTTTAAGGTGCTTCCTTTGGCTTATGAGTTTGATACTAAAAGGGTTCCATATAGCTACTTATTTCTTCAGTTGTCTTTATTACCTTTCAAACAATTTTGACCCTCTTTTGTTTGACAGTTGCATGTAAAAAAGAGTGCCAGAAAACCATGTGGTGATTACCTAACTCTTGCTGTGAAGAATTTGGTCTTCAGTAATAATGCCACAAAGACACTTCAGCAAATCTTTATGATAAATAGCCAGCCTATTGAGGGGACTTGATTTCGGCACAGCACACTCTACCACTGAGCATTTTGTTTAAATAAACGTCCAACTGCTGCTGTGAACATTAATGTTTTTCATTTTCTTTATCAGAAATGAGCTACTGTAATGCCTTCAGCCAGTCAAGTACTGCTGTTGTCAGTGGACCTTTCCTGTGTAAACTCTTCCCAGGCATGACTATTGTAAATACTGTATATGGATTGTAATTTATGCTCTGCCTCAAAATATTATGGCATAAAGAGAAAAACAAGTAAACAAAATTAAAGACTGTTACCTTGAAGAACACTAAATCCATTGCATTCCCCCGAACAGCCTCATTATACTGCTGAATGAACATCTCCAGGCGCTCACACAGAGCCTCAAAAGAAGGGATAGGTTCATAGATCTTTGGAGCCTCCAGGTCTGCATCTTCAGGCTCATCCCCTGTAGCCTCAGGGGCATCTCTCAAGAAGTCAACAAAATAGGCTTCTTTGGGTGTCTTCTCTATGAGAGGTGCTCCATGGTCCTCAATGGCTATCTACACAACAAGGCATATACAGAAACATGCCTTACATTTTTACTCAAACAGATTTGATGGTTGGCAATGGAGCAAAATGAATTCCATATACTGTATCTGAAGCTGTAACTACTTTCAGCATTCATATCTACCGAGCTAAGGCTGGGGTTCGAGAATCACTGAAACCAGATATTGATAAATAACATAAATTACTTTCTTGTCCAAGTAGAATTAATGTTTTAATAGAAGTTTTTAGTTACATTTTTATTTTTTAGTTATTACCTGGAAGTGACATTAGTTATTAGACTATGTACTACTGCACAAAACCCTTTATCACAATTTCCTGATTGTTTTCATTAAGACATTGAAACGGACTTAATTTGGCCATTTGTAAGAAATTAATGAGCTTCTTTTCATTAAAACTTTGGTAAACATTTTAACAGTAACCCTAGGTAGACCCTATTATACTACTCTGATGACTGCATTGATCTTCATTCACAATTTCAGGAAATAACAAAACATTGCTCTTTTTATTAAATAGCTCATTTCTTTACTGTTTTGTTTTCAGCCACATTCCTTGAATTAATATATACTGTATCACAATACAAGACAACTTTGTTCTTTGTATGTGTAGTGTGTATTGTGAATATGTGTAGTGTATAGTATAGTCCATGTACTTATATGTACAGTATAGTACATTTATAGTATTTTGCAGAATGCTCGGTTAAAGCTGTCAAGCTCAGTCAATCAAAACAGGCACACTGAGTGAAGGAAACACAGCACAGCACCACAATGCGAAAGTTAGCCAAAATACTGTTCCTTATACAGTCATAAATATAAAAAATTCAGATTCATTTTCTGTTAATGTGATACCTCCCTGACTGTTGGAGAACAGCTTAATAGTGTCATATATCAAACAGCTTTTTTTCTGACACACATTTCAAAGTTATGAGGGACCTGAAGGTCCACTTGACTTTAATTTGGATTCTTTAAGATTTCTAACGCTGGCTGCATCAAAGACCTTGAGCTTGAAGACTTTGTAATATACCTCAGTGTATTTGGGTTTTTTTATTGAGCTCTTGGGCATTTTCTTCAGTCCCAAAGGCAAAAGTTCCATGAAGACACAATCGTAACCATCTGTCACTCAAGTCTGACAGCACATTTGGCAACATTTACTTTTTCAGATATCTGTAACTTGATACAATAGCAGGGGAACCACTAGTTCCTAATGCTAGAAATTACTATGTACAGGCAGGAAGAGATTGATAATCTTATTCACAAGATGGATGTTTGACTTGCTGCTCCACATAAAATAAAGGGGAACAGAAAGATCTAAAAAAACATCAAACTATCCTCCTACATAGGTCAGTATGCAATAGAATCTCAGGATCAAATATTCCCACCTGGGATGAGAACAAAATGTATCTGATATTTCATCATGCTGCCTATGGTTCCTTAAGGAAAAAACAAAACTGAAAAC